TGAATTTATGTATACTATGTATATACTTATTTTTTGTTTTATGGGCGACAACAAAACTAAAAAATAAATTACGTTCATAGTGACGATGCTGGAGTGCAGGGAATTAATTAGTTAATATTGATTAAGATTAGTCAGTATTGATGCATACAGTGCATTATTCTAATAATTTTATTGACGTAACTATCAAATTCTTGATTTTACATATTTCGGTATAAGAATTTAAAGTAGGATGTCAAATCAAACTTTATTATTTAAAATAAAAACGAAAGTCTTCAATACAAATTCTAAATACGAAAACCTCTAACGAATATCTCTATAAATAGAAGTCCTATGTAGCTTCTGAGGATACAGATGTATTATTGTAATAACTGCAGGTATACTAGAGAGTAAATTTATAATAAGTCATTTTTACGCTATAAATTTGACTTATATTAAATAAATATCTTTTGTGGCATAGACACAATAATTTTTCGAAGTGTTAAATTTAAGTATACTTTATGATATTCAGAGCATTAATCATATTATCTATATACTCTCCTAATTTTATGGTTCCGTAACCCTGTTAGCCAAGAAAATAAAAAATAGGAAAAATCCTTGTGAACAATAACAAACAAAGCAGAGGTTTAAAAGCTGAAGATAGCTATACTAGTTCTACAAGTTCAAAAGAGTTAGTTTCGTTTCACCATCGAGATTAATAGCCTTATCCTATTCTTTGAAATCGAAGTCCTGTGCTGAGGGTTGAATCCAATGGTCCTGTCTGCAACACTATGCCAATATCAGGTATACCTGATTGTTAAGACTTCACAAACGCATGTACATTGCGGAGGAAATAGAATACCGCCATTTTTGAGTTGTTTGTTTCACTCTTTCAACTGTATATAGTCTCTATAACTTTTTCCCATAGTATATCTAGTTGTCGAGGCTTTAGAAATGAACTATAAGGGAAAAAGGATAACCATTTTTGTATTGTTTATTCCAGTGTCAGAATTGTACATTGTTTCTTTAAATCCTTTCAGGATACAGTTTATGATTCACTTAACGTGAGTTAAAATATATTCATGTATTTAAATTATTTTAATAATTAATAATTATTAAAAAATTTAATTTAATTTAACTTAATTAGTTTAATTAAAAATTAAAGAATTAAATAATTTAATAATAATTTTAATCATTAATGTTTAATAATTAATACTATAAGGAAGTTAAAGATAGGAAAGTGGAATAAAATTTACGTGATCTTGTATTCTTTTAATTCCTAACATGATCTAATTATAGTATAAAGTAATCTTAAGTAATTAAATAAATTACATTAATTTTCTAAATAAAAATGAAATTAGATAATAAATATTCACTTCCTTCCAGAAATTTATTTTTAACGATTTTGACAATCACAGGAAGTGATAAAATGAAAGTCATTGTTATAACTGTATATTATTCAAAACGAATTATAAATTATCATTCTCCATTTACACGAAAAACAATTAATTTTTGTTTATATTCATTTTTTTCACAGCTTATCCTTTATGAATTATAGCCTAAATTTCATTCTAATCAGACCTTCCTTGTGAAAGAATGAAATTCACAAATTCTTATTATTGTAGCTGAAAAAGAACAGATATCAATAATTTTTCAAATTGTTTATGGTCATTTCGATAATTACATAAATAATTGACAATAATAATTTTATCATCTTACCTTTATTCAATACCTTTTTTATCAATTTTTGATCCTCGTTATATATTACCACATAAATTTCAGGATAACTTGCCATTTTGTTTTTTGTTATTCAAACTTGAATATTTAAAACAAATTATTTTAATTTCTTTCATTTTTCAACTAGTTTAAATATTTTTCAACTGAATCTCTGAAGATGATTGGAATATTTTCTCTTCATTTTACTATACAATTTTTTAAATATATAATTTTATTGTAAAATGAGTTTACACTTTTATGAAATTAGATGTTTATGATAACTGTAATTGTATTTCGCAAAGAAACCTGGCAGTTCATTACTAAATTTAATAATTCAGAGGCCATAAGTGGATGCTGATGACGTTAATTCTTAATAAGTTATCGATATCCCATAACTACATAGATTCAACTAAAGGATATTAATGGAATTTAATCTAATATTTTAATCATATACACAGCTTGAGCAAATAAATACATAAGTAAATAAATACATTCTGGAAAATATTTTATCCATTGGAAATAATTAGAATAATACTATGTATGTAATATCACTTCTCAGAGTGAGCTCAGAGATACAGGACTATAAACTTCGTTCGATATTCAATTAAGAGAGACCGAATTAACGAAGAAATTTATTGTAACACGGATATACTGAATATTAAATAGTACCCTCGTAAAATTATTAAAACTTCCTTATTTAATATCAGAAATGGTAATATTGGCATAAAATTTTTAGAAGTTGAACCTTGAGAAATCTATCATAAAACGAGCTGAAATTACGAGAAATTATGAATTTAGCATTTGGAAAGGTATACGTAAATTTTACGATGGTTTAACGTTGATTGTAAAATTCGAAAATCCTTTTTTATTGGGGAATAAGTCAAGTAAGAGGTTATAAAATTTTGTCGACTGTAACGTTTCAAAGGAAATCACTCGAAATTATCCAGGACCAACAGTGAAAGAGATAATATCTCAAATGGAAGTGGACTATCCTGCAGTTGTATTAGTCATGGTGGTGGAAATAGAAAAATTGAAGAAAATGGTGAAATGAGTCTCGCAAATTAAAGAATAAGACGAATGGAAATAGCCATTCCGTTATTTCCAAGAAATAAACAGGATAGTTTAAAATACTAATTTTTGTATCAGTTATCTTTTTAATTATCCGTTCATGTAATGAATTATCATTTCAAACATTTGGATAATTTTTTAATGCACAACCTTTTTTCGAAATGAAGAAATTATGGATATAACGTATGAAAAATTTTATAATTCTCGTGATGTTTATAAATATTGCATAATTAAAGTATTTAATTACTCGAGCATTACGTGAAATTATTTGAACGAAAAACATTAGTATTACTTAACAAATACGAATGTCTGAGTCGAGATATTTTATTTTTACTACTGCTGAAATCTCGTATATTTATTACGAAATATTTTTTTTCAATAAAATTTTCTGTGTATGTATTTTTAATAGCAAATTCTTAGTATTTAATACTTCAAAAAATGTTCTCTTGGTTTATAGAAATGAGTGATATCATTTGGAATAAAATTCTAGATTGGAAAATAATATAATAAAAGCACGTGAAAAGTTATGCTAACTATTAATGTTAACCATTTTTGATGTTATAAATTAATGGGGATAAAGCTAGATTATTTTAATATTATTCATTCCTATAGTATATTCTCGCTTTGATTTCTTAAATGAAGCATATATAAATATACTCTCAGACGATATTTTTTATTTTTCTATTTCGCAGTTAGTTAATGTCGTGCAAAATTATTAATACAGTGCAAAATTTTAAATTAGTTAAATGAGACTAAGTTGTAATTTCTAAATATTCAAAATTCGAACCACAACGTGTTAAACAAACTGTCTATTGTAATGAACCGGCAATAACATAATAATCTGAACTGCTAGTTCACCTAACAAAATACGTTTACTAAACTTACTAAGCAAGGTCCTTACAACGGCAACTGCTAGCAACAGCCAAAGTGAGAGTGCTCTGTTCTGTTCTGCACTGTTCCGGAACTATTACGATGGAAGGTTACCTTAACTTGATGAAAGATTTCATTAACATCGTTTGTTTTAACTGTAACTTGACGACTAATTATACGCCGAGGTATACATATTGGTACAGATGAGAGTAACGAGCATATACACGACGTATATTTTCTTAACTCTTTGCGGCACAGGATTTCAGATAATAAAATCGACCCATGTTGCATAGAAATTTTATTGCGTTTTAAATGAAACAAAATCGTTATATTTTTACTAATAAAGGAATCACATAATGTAAAAACATAAAACTAGGAGAAAAAGATTGTAGCAACAAACCTTCCGCTTGCAACAATTAATGAACCGGTACTGGTACGTTGAATGTTGCCAAAACAAGCGAATACATTTGTAACATTTGTTGAAGGTATTACCAACCGCTTTACGTAAATAAGACGAAATATAAACCTACGTGCATGCAGCTATTGCACAATATTTCGAGGTGGGACTAAAAATCCGATCATGCGTTGCAGTGCATCACAAAGGTGGGACACTTTTAATACCAGCGTGCCTCAAAGAATTATGTAGATCACCTAGTACAAAGTATAGAAATTGTATTTTCGATCATTCGTAACAAAATAACCGATATCAGACCACGAAACTAAGGGATAATGCCGTGATGTACGACAAAAGAAAGATCTGCTACAAAACAAGTGATCGGGGTAGTATAAAATATAACAAAAAGTTAAATCCATAAAAAATATTTTCAATTGTCTTGCAACGAAATCGAACCATTTATAACGTTTCATAAATTTATTTTAAGATCGAGTCCTCTCGCATAGACACTATATTGTCATAGACACATTCCGAAAGAATTGCAAACGACGATATATCGTTGTTCAATACTGAAAGGGTTAAATTTGATATACCAATTAACACGAATCTTTAGACCCTGATTAAATGACGACTGAGGATCGTCAGTCGAGTGCAAAGATTTAAATATTCCGTTACCTTTGTTGCTTATTAGTCAAGATATGTCGATTCTGTTGTAATTCTTATTAACAATAACGATAAATAATATACAACAGATTGCAGGTGGAACAAGAAATGTGGATGTGAACTGTTACAGGTTTTCAAATTTCAAATAGAAATTAGGATTACTTTAACCCTATGTGTTTAATATAAAAGAGATCGTACCTTAAACTTCGGTTATCGAGGAACTACTAAAAGCAAGAGCGGT